TAAAAGATTATCATGATTCTTATGATGAATATAGGAGTTGCTACTTATTGTTGTTCAAGGTACTTTGGTCAAGGATATGGTCCGTATGTTTATGATGATGTTGCTTGTTCATCTGCTGAGACTTCACTGATATCTTGTAATTCAAGAGCATTAGGATCAACTAACTGTGCTGGTAGCAATGACGCTGGAATTGGATGCTCTGGTAAATTAATAATAATATTAATACCTCTAATTTATATTACATTTTCTGATACATATTGATGCCCTTATGCTGTGTAGAAAGTTTGAACCAATTTTTCCTAAATTTTTTAAAGTTATGGCCATACCTATTACCTACCTGTACTTAACTCAGGTACCATAACTTCTTCTTGTACTAATGGTGCTGTAAAACTATGGCGTCCAAGTGATGGTCCAGAGTATTTTGGACTAGCTCTGTATTGCAAGAACAGCAGGTGGACTGGAGTCTGTGATGATAGCTTTACCTGCCACACTGCTAGACTTATATGTGAACAGCTGGGCTACCCTGGAGCTCTTTGTAAGCATCACTGAACAATGACTGTATCTAATTCAATACTAATCTCTTATAGATTATAGGGGTGAAGGTTATTGGGGATATTTCTACAGTACACTAGGGAACAATGGTGTTGATCATTATGCTTGGTCCTGTAGTGCTTCTCATACCTCTCTATCTCAATGCTCTTACTATTATCACTCAAGCTGCAATGCTTATCATGACCAGTTTGGTATCATGTGTACCCCAAAAGATCAAAGTTAGTCCAAGAAACATAATTATTAATATAAACAATTATTATTATTATTATTATTATTATTATTATTATTATTATTATTATTATTATTATTATTTTACAGAATCAGAGTGTACTACTGGTACTGTTAGGCTGGTCAATGGTACTAGCAGTAACAATGGAAGAGTAGAGTATTGCTTTGATGGCGGCTGGGCTTCACTCTGTGGCCTATCAGCTCCAGCTTCTACTGCAGTCTGTAGAACACTGGGATTCAACACAAGCTGTATGACAATAAATATTTATATATCTTATTATTTTTTTAAAATTATTTATTTAGTTGCTTCTATCTACAATGATGAAAGATATGGAAGGAATAATAACCCAAGCAGTCTCAGCTACTTAAGTTGCCCCACTTCGGCTACCCACGTGAACCAGTGTACCGCCATACGTAAAGGTAACGGTGGTTGCTGGCGCAGCGTCTCAAGATGTGGCAAAGAATACTCAGTCCAATGTTACAGTAAGCACGCACTGGCATTTAAATAATAATTTATTTTAATATTTATAGATAATATTGGTGAATGCACTGAGGGTAGTTTTAGACTTGTGAATGGAACAATAGAGCAGGAAGGAAGAGTAGAGATATGTACTAATGGCCTCTGGGGTGCTATCTGTCACGGAAGCTGGAACTCCATTGATGCTTTTGTATTGTGCAGGTCACTAGGATATGGAGGATCAGGTATTATTTTATTTATTTATCATGATTTTATTTCTTTATTCCTTTATTTATTTATTTATTTTTACAGGTCCTACAACTTATTGGACTTCAACATTTGGTCTTGCCACTGGCCCAGCTCCATGGAAGAATGTCCTATGCTATGGGTGGGAGAACACACTCTTTGACTGTCAGAAGACAATATATCCTTATGACAGTTGCCCTGTTCAGAACACTGTCGGTGTAGCCTGCAAAGATGGTGAGCATATACTAATAGTATACTGTGTCCTTTTATTCAGTATTTTATTAATTAATTAATTTGTTTGTTTATTTATTTATTTATTTATTTGTAACATTAGGTTGTGCCAATGGTCAAGTGAGGCTGGTTGGTGGTAACTTTGAGAACGAAGGGACAATACAAGTTTGTTATAGTGGAAGGTGGGGACAGGTATCTGATCAGGGATGGGACGCCAATGGTGCTAGAGTAGTGTGTAATCAACTAGGATACACTGGAGGAAGTAAGAACCAATATTTAAATTATTATTATTATTATTATTATTATTAATTTTATTTTTATTTTTAGATGCTGTTCCTACTACTGGTTCGTCTTATGGTAAATCCAACCTCACCATTCATCTCAAGTTTGTCGCTTGCTCTGGGAATGAGATTAACATTGATCTTTGTTCCAAGACAAAGCTCTCACTAAACAACGGCAAGAAGGAACTAGTCACTGCTCAAGTGGCTGGTGTAGACTGCATTTATGATGCACCAACTGATCCACCTTGCATTGCTACTCCTCCTCTATACAATACACAAGGAAGTCAGTGTGGAGCTGCTCAGAACAGAACTGTTAGGATGAATCCTGACGATCCACCTGGTAATGGTCGCGTACAGTATTGCTACAATGGATACTGGTCCCCATTCTGTAACATGGACCCAATCACTGCTTCCATTGCATGCAATGATCTAGGGTATACTTCATACTCATGTAAGTACTAATATTGTTATTATTGCTATTATCATTGTTTTCATTGCTTTTAGGGGGCTCTATAATTGATAATGGGAATTATGCTACACCAAATTTAATGAACATTAGTTTGTTTGACAGAGTCAGCTGTACTGGATCAGAATCAAGCATAACCCAGTGCACCCTGGTGCCCAGTGATCCATCCTGTACTCCATACTGCA